AGATTAAATCAGATGAATTCGGGCATGTGCTAATGTCTGACAGCTTACGGTAGAAACCAGCAGCTTCTAGCTCTTTTAGGCTTGTATATGTTTTGCACTTTAAGCCTTAAGCTGCAAAATTTTCAAAACCTTTCATGTTCTTAGATTGTTTGGATAGTGGTAAACATGGCTATATATTGTTTGTTCACAGAGATGCAGAAGATGCTGTTTACAGAAGGAATGGTTATGATTATGGCCAGTGTCGTCTCCGTGTTGAGTTTCCTAAACCTTCCAGAGGTCGGGGTGGAGGCTTTGGTGGGGGGCCTCGTGGGAGGAATGGCCCTCCTTCACGACGATCTGAATTTCGAGTCCTTGTTTCAGGTATGTTTCCTTCTAAACTTCATATTGACTGGAACCCCTCAGATGCAATCTCCAGTTGTAATGGAGAGAAGATTATCTTCTTATTACCATATTATATGGTTTCTTTCTTAATACGGAACCTGTCCCTGTGGAGGAGCTTTTTAAAACTGCAAAAGGACACTATACTTTTCTGATTCAATGCATGGAGGAAGTCTTGCTTATGGATTCATCATGCTGAATGAATGGTGAGCAAAAACGTCTCCAGCTGGAGGCAAGAGTGAACTCTTGGATGCAAAAAGGGGGTCACTATATGGGTGGGCAAAGGGAAGGAAGAAAAACCAGGGATCAGTTTTATAGTGTTTATGGCAGAAGGAACAGGCTTTAGTTGGTGCTGTGCAACCAAAATATGTCTTATTAAAACCTGAGAAACAGCTTCACAATATTTGTGTCCTTTATGAAAGAAAATAAACCCAAAATTAGATCCCCTCTGTTCAGAGCTTTGTGGATTCCTCAAAACAACCTTGATATACCTGGAATAGGTGTCTCTATCTAGTGAGTTGGGAGACAAATGAAAAAGTCCTAATCTCACTGGAAAGCAATGGAAGTATTTTGAAGGTTTTGCCATGGTGATCAAGTCTCTGAAGAAAATTTGGCACGCTTTGGCCAAACATATGGAATGGCCCACTTAACCCATAAAAATATTCCTAAAAACTAACATAATATGCCAAGAAGTCTGCATGTGACTGTGGTATCGTGGCTAGAAATAGGAGAATTCTCGGTGAGGAAATTGCTGAATGCAATCATTTCAATTTTGCAGCAGGACCTGGAGACGAAAAGGCTCAACCCCAGGTGTACATCTCCCACACAGAAGCCTGGGAGGGCAGGGAGGATACCTGGACTGGTTATTGGCTTGAAGGGAGAACCTGCCTTACTAGAGAGTGTTGTGAAGCATTCTTGAAAACTGCCAGGAAGCAGCAGCATACTAGTTTCTTCAGAATATGCTGTGGAACAGGGAACTCACTTCCCTTTATCTTTCTTTATAGCATACTTGTGGATAGCTAACACAGGTATCCTTGCTTCGCTGCCCAAGGATAAGCTATTGGAATCTAAGGAGCCAAACACTCTTAGAATGGGACCCTCATTCTTGGATGGGAATCTAATTTTGAGTACATGGAGTACAATCTGTCCAGTCAGAGTTAGGGTGATATTAAATTTGCATTGGACAAATAGGAGGAGTCCTCTGACCACCCAGTACTTTGAATCCTAGACCTACCTAGGGGATTGCCTTGCTGACACGGAGGGCTCACCCTTTGGAGTGGAACTTATTGCTGTTCTGTGGACCCTAATTGTAGCACTGACTCTCTGGAAAGAACAGGAACTCTATGGAAATGGTGGACTACAGCCATGCCTGGCATAGCCTCAGCAACTAGTGACATCTCTTTACACAATCTCTTGTGTTTTGTGTTCACTGCTCAGGGCTTCCTCCATCAGGCAGCTGGCAGGACCTGAAGGATCATATGCGTGAAGCTGGTGATGTATGCTATGCAGATGTTCAGAAAGATGGAATGGGGGTGGTTGAGTTTCTTCGCAAAGAAGATATGGAATATGCACTGCGTAAACTGGATGACACCAAATTCCGATCTCATGAGGTGGGTTCCTGCCTGTGGGTGAAGAGCATGTGTGTGTGCCAGTCATGGAGGAACGCACATTAACCTGTCCTTTTGCGATGCTCTTTCAAGAGGCTTCTGGGCAATCTAGCAATAGTCTTGGAAACGGTGGCTTAAACTTTGTAAGATTAAGAGTTGCCAAGGCTATGTGAGTCCTGCCCCATGATGGTGTGGTTAAAAACATTGAAGCAGAAACTAGGTTTTGTGCTTTATTCCTGGAAAATGAGCATTTGGATTACTTGCTTTTAACATCTGAGCAAGTCAAGTCGATTTCATTTGTCATGCTCCCATTGACAGCCAGTGGGTGAACAAAGTTGGCTACCAGCTGATTGTTTCAATAAACTTAGCTTGCCTTCTATTGGCAAGCTGAAATGATATTTCCCAGAGGAGCAGCTGTGTAGCTTTATGGCTTACTTAATAGTAATCTTCCCCACCTGTGCTTGGATCTTCCTACTTAAGGTGGTTTGATATCTCTACTATAAACCAGGTTATTATTCTTGGGGCATTGCTACTTCACTTGCAACCACCTTCTTCTAGTGGCTGGCTTGATCTTCAACCACCCAGTCAATCACAGATGGAGGCTGCTTGTTATGGAATTTTCTTCAAGAATCTGAACCGCAGAAACAGAATTAAGTTAAGATGGACTGGGTGAGAATTCACCAAGACCTTTCCTAGCTGTGCTGAAGGACTTCAGTAGCCTGCATCTCTCCCTCTGATAGCTTAACTTTGGAATCCGACATCATCGCCCTTCTTAGTTACAGGGGGACAAAACGTGTCTGTGTTGGCCTACGCAGCCTAAGCTGTTCCGTAACAAGCCCTTTTTCTGCAGACCTGAGGGGCCACATCTGAATTGGCCTACGGCAGCAATAGGATTTGACCTGCCTGTATATGAAAACTCTTCAGTCCTGAGCCACTCTGTGCATTGGTTTCTCGCCTTCATTTTTGGCATTCATTTATTCATAACCCTTAACCACAGGATGTTATGCCAATGTTTGGGTTTTCTCTGTTCTGAATTCCAGGGTGAAACAGCCTATATCAGAGTTTGTCCTGAAAGAAGCATCAGCTACAGCTACTCACGCTCCCGTTCTGGTTCAAGGAGTCGCGATTCTCCCTACCAAAGCAGGGGATCACCGCGCTACTCTTCACCCTTTAGGCCATTCTGATTGCACCCAATAGGGACTTGTAACGATGTGAACTGAGCTTGTCATTTGTGCTCAGAGTTTACATTCCAAAATGGATGGATATAATCTTTCGTAGGAACCTTTTTGGTTTTTTTTTTTCTTTCTATTCAAGAAAATCTTTTTTTTATGACAACTGTTTTTACTAGGGAAGTGTTGGTAATGAAGTATTATGAATCATTGCCACTTAAAATGCATTTTATTTGGAAAATGTAAAGTTGTTTTTGCTTTACTTCTCAGTGAGGAAAAATGAGCTTGAAACTCACACGTTAAATAGTTTGCTGGATGGGCTTTAAAGCAGAGATTGTTGGTGGTGTTTCAAAATATATTCCAATGTTTCTGTAACTCATAAATGAGTGGCTGTCTTTTTGTGCAGTCAGGGTAGAAAGTGGAGATAAAACAGATGACCCTGGTTTTTAAGTTACTTTTTCTTATTGGGTTAAAGAAGCATTTAAAAAGATTTTGCTCTCTGCAGCTGTTATACTGGAAACATCGAAGGGATGTTTAAGCTGTTCTACTATAACACCAGTGCAATTACTTTTACTGGCTGTTTTTGATATGTTATTTCACAAAATAGTATCCAGGACAGATTTTATCAAGCCTGGAAGAGTTGAGAGAGCAGATTTAATACAATTTCATTACTTAAAGGGAGGGGCTGAAAATTTGGGAAACTTACTGGGGAAGGAGTGTTCTGTGTTTCTCACCAACTGCAAAACGTGTTCAATTTAAACATTTCTTGGAAGTTTTATGGAAGTCCCATCATTAATTTGATCCATAAAATAAAATGGATTTCAGTGGTTTTGTGCTTAGTTAACTTGTAAAATGAGGTGTTTTATTTGAATTCTGTGTCTGTAACTGTCCACATATTAAGAGCTTAATAAGGAGATTCATTTTAACCAGCTTGCAAGTTTAGAGAAAGTGCTGCCAATCTAGGCTTTGAGAATAATATTTTGAGACTTGGCAGAAGTGAGTTGCTGCAAAGATCTAGACCCAGGTCTTTTATTGAATTAATACCTTACTGCATCATATTAATAGCTGCAGTCATATGAAGAGTTAGTGGGAGAATAAAACGAATGCCATTTTGGTATAAAACGGATTAAGCTGCTTGTGTTGTATATGAAATACAATTTATGTACAATGATAAAATAATTACATAGCAACATTTGGCTAGAAAAGCACAAAGCAGTACATGTCCATTGCAAAATCCAATGTGGCATATTTGTCCAAGTGTCTTTGTGCTTTGCTTATTAAATAGTGGCTGGAGTTCAAAATGCACTGAGTAAAAAAAATATGGCTTGTTTGTGGCTTAGTGATTAGATACCCTGAATGTGGCTTATCTGCACTTATTTTGTATCCTGCAGAATAGCATTAGATGCATTTTATTGAGGGGACTGGTTTAAGGCTTAAAGTGGTTTAAGACGCCAATTTCCTTTTTTTAAAATAAAACTCTCTCCTGAATTGGACTCTTTTCTCTGCAAGGCTTAAATGCCTCCACCTGCTCTTCATAAAGCACAAAATATTAGCTGGCCATTTTTGGACTTTTAGATGCCACACTAATCATAAAATGCTGTTACTGGGCACACACACAAAAATTGTATTTCTTAGGCATACATAGAGAGGTTAGCCTAAACATTATCCTTCATCCAAAAAAAGGGCTATATTTCTGAAGCAATTCATTCCCATCTGGAAGACTGTCTCTAAAGACCATGAATATTGTTCCTCGGTTAATTAAATCTAAATGCCACAGCATATCTTAATACACAATACCACACATCTTCTTTTGCAATAATTGAAAGAAATTTCAAAGTATAAAATCAATTGTGCTACATTTTATTCAGTTTTCCTAGAAAATATTTTGTTTCATGACCACGTAACAAGGTAACAGTAATTTGAATTCAATTTGAATTCATAAAATGAGTGTTTGAATTCAATTTTCAGAATGTTCTGCCCTTAGCAGTAATACACAGTCCCTCTTGTGCTGGGATTTTTTTTCCAAAGACATTTATTAATGTCACTTTTTCTGATATTTCCAAAGTCCAGAATTCTTGTATGGGGTTTAAAAGAAGTTCTAGACATGTTAGCATACCATGTTTCTGTTAAATTTAGAGTCAGTGATACTCTTTCCCAATCCATACAGCTCTATGCCTTTTTTTCTCCACTAAGCAACACCAGTCATTTCAGTTCTCATCCCTCTCCCCTCCCCAATTATATGAGGTACTTGATATAAAAATTCTAGATGACAATGCATGTGTTTAAAAACAATCAGTGATGGCATTTCAAGTCGGATCTTCTATTAAGAATCTTCCTTGTGAAGAAAAGTGTTTCTCTCTTCTACCTTTGGCAGAGGAATGTTACCTAGTGCAAAAAGAAATTGGCAGGAATAAAATACTTCGATCGTTTTGGCAATTTCTATTAGAAATAAAATTTGACTTATATTATCCAATATATAATTTAACTACCAGTGCTATAAAGCTAAATCAGATGTATATTATTGATGAACAAAGAACTTGTTTCCAAAGAAACAAGTTTCAGTTGTGTTCCTAGTTGTAAAAATGAACTTCAAGGCAACACCTTACAAATTTTAAATAGAAAATGTCAGCTGTCAACGATGTTCATGGCACAGTTCTATGTGTTGCTTCCAACACAGCATCAACCAAATTATACTCTGTAGAATAACTGAAATTAAGCACGTAATATTGAATTCAATAATTTAGGCAGGTTCCAAAATCCAGAATGGTATTTCTCAGCAGAGATACAATAGACCCACCATTACTGCATCCTATATAATGAAACTTCTCTTGCATTCACACTGTGAAAAGGGTGTTTTAACATTCTACGACATGGATTTCCCTGCGTGCCCCCTGCAAAATGTTACCTGGTGGAGCTATGAAATATCCTTCAACTGTCTTTGCAGCCTTCTTCAGTAGTTCCTCTGCACAATTCCCTTCTGAGATACTATCTTCCCTGAGGTAGAGATGCCTGAGGAATACAAATCATTCATCATCAGCCTGCTAGGATGCTTAGAAATATGGCAGCTTTCTACAATGTTCTCTCCCTAAAAGCCAGGTGATATTACACGGCTTGCCAAGACTAGAAAGAGCAGTGATTGCAAGTGGTCCCACTTTTCATCCGAATGGGGAATGAATGATACAGTAGTACCAATATCGTTGCCTTGCCACCTTCTGCCTGCAAAAACTGTCAGCTGCTTCTGAAGGGGTGACGAATACCCTTCCTCACAATTAAATGGTTTCCTTTTTTAAAAAAATTTTTTTATTGAAAATCATTAAAAAAAAATACAGAAAAAAAAACCCGGACGTAAATGGCTTCCTGAGAATACCAAATCCGCATGGCTCTCCTGGAGCTGGAAAGTCAGAAAGTAAACTCCGGAAACGGCCGGGGGCTGCCGGTAGCTACCTGTCTTCCAGCACCGATTCCATGGGCTCAATTCCATCGGTCTTCACCTCCTGAAGTTGTTCAGCGAATTCAACTGCGCTCTCCAAACGGCGGACGCCCTCCCAGTTGCGGAAGTCAACGAGCGCCAGTCGCTCAAGGTGATCCAACAACTCCAGAGTAATCTCTGCCTGCTGAAACAATTCTGTTTTTTCTTCAAATAGCGCATTTCAGCCTCGGGGGGGAAAAATAAAGAAAAATGCCGGCAAACCACGCTGTGTGGCAACTGGGAATATATTCGTAGAAATGGGATAAGGGACAATGGGACACTTCACGTTTCAGTTCGCCGGGAAAGGCTCCGTTCCTGCCAGCCTAAATCACGCAGCGGAAAGCCGAGCTGGAGAAACTCCCTGCGGGTCCCCAAAGCAGCAGAGCCCGGGTGACGCTCAGGCCCCGGCCTAATCGTGCCCCCCTCCCCGGTCATCTTGGCAAGGGGGGGTGTCGCCCGGTCTCCCCACTCACCCGGCCGGATCCGGCGTCCTCCGCCGAAGAGGCGCCCCTGCAGCCGAGCGCAGCGCGCCACGACCGCCAGCCCCGCCGGGCCCACCTGCAGCCGAGCATCTCAACGCGCCTCTTCCGCTTCCGGCGCCGAGGCGGAAGTGACGCCGCGCCTGCCTCCTGGGCGCTGCGTCAGTCCGCCATGAACAGCGTCGGCGAGGCCTGCACGGAGCTGAAGCGCGACTACGACCAGTGCTTCAACCGCTGGTTCGCCGAGAAGTTCCTGAAGGGGGAGGCCGGCGCCGAGGGAGACCCCTGCGTGCAGCTCTTCAAGCGCTACCAGCTCTGCGTCCAGGTGACGGGCGGGGCTCGCTCGCGGGACAGGCGGGGGGGGGCTCTGTGTGTGTGTGTGTGTGTCCAGAAAAGTATGCCCCCCCCGAAGAAGGGAGAGTGCCGTGTTAACGCTTCTCGGCCTTGGTCACGTGAAGGCGGGCGGACTTCAATTCCCAGAATTCCCCAGCCAGCGACCAAGGCTGGACGACCCAAGGCTTCCGAAGGCGGTGGGCGGGGCGTCTCCAGCCAGCGCCTCCCTTGGGTGCCGCTGGGTGTTTCCGGGCAGCGTCCTGGAAGCGAATTTGGGCCCCCAGCCTGCATCCCAGGGCGGGTAGCGGGCAGCCCGACCACCAGAGGCTGCCTGGTTTGGGGATATGCGGCATGAGGGTCCGCTTCCCAGCTGAGTGAGACTCTGAATTTTCTCAGCTGCGGGTTTCCGAGTCCTGCTAGGCTGAAATGTGGTTGTCCTGCAAATCCAGCCTTGGGAGTGATTGCTGAAGGGTGGACAAATGCCTTGTGAAAAAGAGGGCAGTAGGGGGTTTTGCTTGCAAATCTGAAAACAATTGATGCTCCTTTTCGACAGTTCGGACATTTATCTTGTGGCTGTCCCAGACTTTTAGTGCTTAGGATATGTTTTTTTCAGCCTCCTCAGCATCTTAGAATATCCTTCATTTATTTCCCTTTCAGAAAGCTATTAAGGAGAAGGACATACCCATCGAAGGCTTGGAATTCATGGGCTCCAGCAAAGAAAAGTCTGAGAACTCTTCATAAATCTGATGACACCTGCAACCCCCCCCCCAAAAGACTATGAAACAGGCAAACTAAAATGAACTGGCTGCCAAACAAGGAACTCACCCTAATACCGCTTATGCGGGTGGGGAGATACAGGGTGCTGCTTCCTTGCAATGTTTGTCACATCAGTCTAGGGACTGCTGCTTCGCTTCCATTGTTGCCGGGAAAGTTTTATCATGATTGCCTATGTACAGTCATGTGAAAAAGTAAACACCCCTATTGAAATTTTTGACTTCTTCAACCTACAGATACTTGAACTTCCACAATATTGATAAAGAGGACACAATATAACATATATCATGCGCTATTTAAATTTTGTGGACCATTGTAAATTTAAATAAAAATAATTGAAATTTTGCATGTATAACAAAGTAACTATACCTCTGTTTATCACTACCTCAAATGTCTAAAATAGGGTTTTAGATGAGTAGAACATTGTTAGAATCTTGGAGGAACCTGTCGTTAAAGCAGGGGTATCAAACTCACGTCATCACAGCAGCGTCATGCGATGTATCAGGACTTTTTTCCCCTTTGCTAAACTGCATGGGCATGGCCAGCATGTGGCACCCAGTCCGCGGGCCAGGAGTTTGATAGCCCTGTTTTAAAGCCTCAGGCTTTTAGTTTGGTTTATACTGTTGCTGAAATATGTGGTATCCTCCTGCTTAGCTTGAAAGAATGCTTAGGCCTTCCAAAAGGTTATAGAAATCAATGAGCCATAAAAGGATTTTAAAAGATCACTGGATAATTGGGCAGCAATCATTCCAATGATTACAAGTGGAGAAGATTTCAAACAACAGCCAATTTGGCCAGGCATTTGGTGGTCAGTGACCAAAATAAAATGACTCATTGTCCAGCCTAGGGGGGCCGGTTAGGTTCACCCCATGGGCAAATGCAAGACCTCGAAAGAAATCTCTAAGAACCTCAGAATTATGTCACATGACCAACAGGTATCTCTCTTCACTATTGATGTCTAAGTGTATGACTCTACCATTAGAATGAAGCTGCACAAATTAAATCTACATGGGAAGTGAGCCAGGAAACCTTTGACCTTCAGAAGGACCATCAGGACAAGACTAGTTTCCTCATGAACATCTAGATGTTGTGGTCCATGACTTGGACAACTCTTGAGTCTAAAGCTGCTCCAACTAAACCAGTGGGATGTCAGTCTCTGGAGACACCAACACAGGAATCGTCTGAGGCTGATCAAAAGCATCAGACTAACCAGAGCAGTCGAATCATGAGGTGTGCCCCTTCATCAAACACTTGACACGTAGAGCGGACAGCAGAGCCAAGATGCTCAATGAGGTTCTTTGTGAAATGGGTGTGTGCGTTAATTAAAAATAGTTGGCTACTGCCTGGTTTAAGAGGCAGCTCTGACCCATGGAAACAACTGTGATTTCCTGTTGTGATAATATGTTGTTCCTGTGTAAGAAATCTGAAACTCTCACCCTAGGACTGGCTGAAGAGCCTGATTTGCTCAGACCTCTGGACTGAATCATGACTGCTCTAGCCTGCCCTGTGGAAAGTGAGGCTACTTGGGCAAGTTTTATCTTCAAAGACCCTGACTTACATTACTTTGCTGAGCCTTAGGTAAATTGCTTATCACCAAGCAACTCTGTGTGTTTGTTTGGAACCTGAAGCGGGACACTAGGCAAAGAGCAGAATTTCTGGAACAATGTGCTCTGGACAGACAAGGCAAAAATAGTGTTATTTGGCTTTAGTAGCAGAAGACATTAAAAAAACAGTTTGGTGTAGTGGAGAAAGTGCTGACCTATAAAGCAGCAGACGAATTCTAGTCCCTCGAGGGACAAAATCCTGTTGCACGTTCTTGGTCCCACCCAGCTCAGAGTTATGTGAGGAAAATAGGCAGAACGCATGTTCACCACCTTGAGTTGTGTATGAAAATAATAAAATTAGATGGAAAAAATAAAGGACAGCATCTATTTACTCATTTTTATAGCCGCCTGTGTCTGGTTCTGAGTAAAGTTAAAATTTCACAAGAACCTGATACCATCTGTAAAGCACAGTGGGGGGAAATGTTCTGGTCTGGGGCTGCATCGGGGCCTGGACAGCTCCCCACCATGGAACTCTGGGCACTTGAGGGTCACACGAGAGCATCTCTCAGAAGATTGAGGCTCAACTGAAAGTGGACCATGCAACATGACCATGATTCTAAACCCCACAGAACGACTGGAAAAGGAGAGAAGTGGCCGAGTCAAAGCCTGGATCTGAATCCCACCGAGATGCTGAGAGGGATTTGAGCTTGGCTCTGCGTGCAGGAAACCCTCCAAAACCACCAGCTGAAAAAATTCTGTAGGAGGAGTGGAAAGAAGACAGACAGTCATGAGAAATGCCTGCTGGAGGGAGTTTCTGCCAAAGGGGTCAGTGAGAGGCCTTGGAGCCAAGGGCGGGAGAGGAGGACTTCCTTTTTCCCACAAGGAAAGGGCATATCTGTGTTGTTGAATAAATGATTGCAATGTCCATTTTTCATAGGCTATTTTGTTCAATCAAATCACCCATATACTGTTTGACAATACAATAATAGTATGTCTATATCCCCCCCCCCACGCCCGGTTTAGCGAAGAGGGAAAAAGTCAAGATACGTCACGTGATGCTGCATGTTTGACACCCCTGGTCTACATAATTTAAACTACATAGGATATATTTACTTTTTCACATGACTGTAGCTCATCAGGGCTGTGAACTTCCCTGTATTGGCCAAGGCAGGTGGATCAAGGCTAAGCACTATTTCGGAGGGAGGGGGCTGCTGTGTTTTGCATTTGAATTTGTAGCTTGCAATTCCAACATCTTTTTCTGAGGCCTGGACATTGACATTTTGGAGTGGGGCAGGTGGAAGTGCTGTGAAGTCCTGGATCAGTTGAATTCTCTTGAAGGATTCTGCCTGTCTGAATGGAAAAAGGAGCACTCCCATCTGTCTGGCTAAGGCTGTGTGGATGCCTACAGGCCCTTTGAAGGTGCCATTAAAGACAAGATGGCACCTCTGCAACCCCAGAATGTTGCCCTTTGATCTAAGCTGGCTGCTCTTCCCAACCAAGACTGTTAAATAGGCCGCTGCTCTTGTACCCTGGGCCACGTTCAAAATCGGAGGCCAGAAGGCAAAGTTCCCTGGCAGCCTCTTCTCATCTCATGGGCAGAACCCTTAATTCTTCAAATCTAGAAATGAAATAATTCAGTAGCATTAGCAATAATTCATGTGGCATTAGAATTAAAAAAAAACCTTACCAATACTGAAGGCGGCATTATTGTAGCCAAATTGAAGCAACTAGTTTAAGGTGCCTCAACTTTCGTAAACATTTCTAAGCTGGATACAGGATGAGCTTGTTAAATCCTTCTTGCAGCAAAAAAAAAAAAATCCTGTTTTCAGGAATGCCTGTTTTTTTCCAGTTAATGCCACCACTGAGGCAACAAAACATCAAAAACCTCAGACTTTGCAATAAAGCAGGAAGCCCTCCCTGTATCACTGGTGCAAACTCCTTTCAGCAAGCATCACTGCCAGGAAAAGAGCATTTTAAAGAAACACCTGATATAAGTAGAGCATGTCTAGCATCAGCACAATGAAGCAAATTCTGGCTCACCATAAAAAAACTACAATTTTATCTTTATAATACAGATTTTGAGAGAGAAACTCTTAGAGAGAGACTACTGGAGTAATCCTCTCCCAGCACCTACTCCACTCTGACAAAATTCCTTTTTGCAATCCTTTACTCTCTCTCCCAGATTTATCCACAAAAGCAGCATTTCTTCAAATGTGCCAAGGCAATCTAAAACCCACTTTCCTGTGTATAATAGAAAACACTTTGGACACTGTCATAGAAGGCATGGAAACACTCTTGCAGGAGAAAGTGCCTTACAATGTGATTGAGCAGTTAAAAGTGTGTTCTGGTATATGCAATAATTGAAATTAAATTAGGAAACTAAAATACAAAATTAGAAATGACTTGTAACTTAGGTTTAAACTGGGGGTTATGTTTTGACAGAAGCATATGAAGTTATGGTTTACAGAAATACAGAAGTTATGCCTGACAGAAAACCCACTCACAACCTCAACTTCAGAGAATCTCTCTCCACCAGCCGGGGGGTGGGTGGGGCTGCCCTCCTACCCACAGATCAGCAATGGATGCTGCTCTACTATAAAGAACCCTCGCAGAGGCCAACAATAAGATGCAATCACATGCCACTGCTATTTATCACATTGGGAATTTTTTTAAGCAGTATTGGATCACAGATTTGAAAGTTCATCTCCTGCTTGGTGAAAGATTTTAAAACAATTTTGGACAGGGTTCTGTTTGAAGTCTTCTGGTAAAGGGAAACTTTAAAAAGCAACCTATTAAGATTGGCTGATAGCTGTGAAGATCAAGAAATTTCTACTGGTATCTAACCAAACGTGTTTATTTAGAATCTAGTTTCAACCTACTGATTCTAGTTCTGACCTCAGGGACGTCAAGCTTCATGCCTGCTCCCTCCTTTATATGACAATGGTTTACAAATCTGAAAGCTCCTATTGTATTTTTCCTTGGTTTCCTCTTTTTTAAGGATAAACAGACCTAGATCTTTCAACTGTTCCAAAAGCTTGGCAGCTCTCCTCTGAACGTACTCCAGTTTTCAATGTCTGTTTTAGATCGCAGTGCCTAAACTGGAAGGGAAGAATGGGCCTCACCAAGGCAAAGAGAAGAGCAGGGAGTTGACTTCTGCGATGTGGATTCTATGTTCCTGTTAATGCATCTGAAAACAGCACTTGTCCCTTAGTAGCTGCACTATGCAAGTCAGGTCTAAATAGTGCTGAAAAATTACCATCACAAGATGAATAATTCTGTGTTCACTAAAATGATTACTCATTTTCTTGTCAGTTTCCATACTGGAAACGTACTTCTTCAGAAAATAATTTGTTCTAATTCCAAGCAATCTTGACCGGTATCAGTTTACATCACATATCTTAACAATTTGAGCACCACTGCTTTCCTGCAAACAGTGCTGCTTAATTTTTCATCTACAAAGCTCAACAATGCCCCCCCTTCAAGATAGTAGGATAAAAGGTATTGATACAAAGTTTTAAAAAATAAATGAAAGATTTGGCTAGAATATTTTTTATTTCAGGAGACTTCTACAGGAAGAACATCGACTGTAAGAAGTCAGAACAAACAATACAGGAAATGCAGATTATGGTCCCAGCCTTGATTCTGGTCCAGCTACCTTTAATGGTCCATGCTGTGGCTGTGGTCCACTTGCCTAATGGTCACTCTTCATAGCCAGTTGGAAGTGCATTGACATGTGGATTATGGAAAAAAGTATGGTTCCCATCACCCCAAGGGAAGGGCTGCAAAGAGAAGAGAGATGGTACTTTTAGTTTTCTAAGTCAGGGGTGAAATGCTCCCGGTTCGGACCGGATCACCCGATCCGGTAGCGATGACGGCAGGTGGTTCGGAGAACCGGTAGCAAAAATCCCTGCCCCCCACCCCCATGCCCAACTGAGCCGCACAATCATCAGAGGCTTTTTTTTTACTTTTAAAAGCATTTTTATACAACCTTTGGCCGAAAAAATGCTTTTAAAAGTAAAAAAAAAAAGCCTCTGATGATTGCGCGGCTCAGCTGGGATCATCAAAAAAACCCTTTTTTTCTTTTAAATGCCTGACGATCCAAGCTGAATTGCCTGATCATCAGAGGCTTTTAAAAGAAAAAAAGTCTCTGCCAATCAGGCAACTCAGCTGGGATCGTCAGAGCCTTTTGAAAGCATTTTTTTACTTTTAAAAATGGTTTTAAAAGTAAAAAAAAAAGAAAGGCCACGCCCACCCAGTCACATTGCACCCCCCCACCAAGCCACGCCCACAGAACTGGTAGTAACAAATTTTAGATTTCACCCCTGTCCTAAGTGATATATACAGTAAGATCTCTATAATGGCTTTTTGACCAGCAAGGTGGCAGCAGCCAGCCAATGTTATCTCAAAAACCTAAACCTGGTCAGATGTAATTAGTATAGACGTGGGGGACCACTACAAAATCCCAAGGCTGTAGACTAGATTGTGAAGTCAAAAAGGGGACGGGAGGGGCGAAATCTCAGAAGGAAAGACAAACTACTTCCACAATGTAGCGAAGAAAAGTGCATGGGTATTTTCAAGAGGTTACCAGGGGTCAAACTTGATTCAAAGGAGCCTTAAGGATAATAAGCAATTTTAAAAAATATTTTTCAAAAATCAATCCTTGAAGATGTGCAACTGAATGTGCAGAACAGTGGCTTTGTTTGGCAGTAATGCAATGATTCTTTTTTAAAGTTGGCACCCACTGAGGAATATCAGAAATTAGAGGTACTTTTTATATTTTTTGTCAATGTGGCTCAGAGACAGCAATTGGCCCATTGAAGATCATGCACAGGGATTGTTGGGTGAGAAATTGATTTTTCTGTATTGGAAATAAAGCTCATTTCTCATCAAAACTTAGTTGTGAATTTTATGTAATTTTATGTCACCTCGCCCTTAAAATTTGCTGTGAACTAATAAGAGTTCAGGATACTAAATAACCATAATCAGTTTCCCAATAGGTAGGCAATGTAATTCTCACCCTACTTCAAACCCAAGTGTAGAAGAGACTTACAAGAAGGGAAATACAAGTAGTTCTCAACTTAACAGTTCGTTTAGCAACCATTCAAAGTTACAACGGCACAAAAAAAAAGTGACATGACCATTTTTCACATCTACTTTCAGGATCCCCATAGACATGTGATCAAAATTTGGATGCTTGACAACTGACTCATATTTATGACGGTTGTGGTATCCCGGGGTCATGTGATCATCTTTTGTAACTTTCTGACAAGCAAAGTCAGATTCACTTGACAAACATATTATTAATTTAATAACTGTAGTGATTCACTTACAACTGTGGCAAGAAAGGTCTTAAAATGGAGCAAAACCCATTTAATAAACATCTCACTTAGCAACAGTAGTTTTGGGCTCAATTGTGATCGTAAGTCGAGAACTACCTGTATTAGATGAAAAGCAATGGGTATATCCAGGCCATGCTTTTGGGATCTGACCCAACCAGTCAAAACCTCAATTTCTACAAATGTCTCCCAACAGTCTGTATAGAACAGATCTAAAAACAATGCAAATTCAGTACCTTGGTCCGGATGTAAAGATGCTTGTAAGGAATGAATTCTGGCCTTTCATGATGATCCTCTTTCTTCAGGTAGCAATTTAGCTGGCAGATAGCAACAGAAGGAATAGCAACCACAAGAGACAAGATTTTCCATAAACGATCTAATTGATTGAATTCAAACATAAACAGAAAGTCAAGGAGTGTTATTTCTTTGCAATAAATTAAAATATAGGACCAATAGAATTACTATCCAAGCCTTTTAATTCAATTTACAGATGGTGCAATGAAAAATTGTTGCAGGACAGCTTATAACTGAACTGAAAATGTACCAGGAGGAGGAAAAAGTGGAAGATGCTAATTAGTTTGGAATTATTTTTTGATTATACAGCGGCTCAATTCACAAAAGATACTAAGCTAAAATTGGGCTGCTTTGTGCTTCAGTATTTTTTTTTACTTGGCCAGGACCGATTTTTAGTTCCTATAGGCAATTCAACAAAAACATATCTGGACCACGATGTCCTAAACCAGGGCTGTCAAACTCCTGGCCCATGGGCCAGATAAATCATGCGCTGGCCACGCCCATGGCCGGTATAGCGAAGGGGAGGAAAGTCCCAATACGTCACGTGACGCCACCGTGATGCGAGTTTGACACCCCTTTCTTAAGCTGAAGCCTCTCTGCTGCAATAATTTCCTGCTTAATGTCATATTTTTTTCTCAACCCCAGCCCCTCCTTTCCATTACCAATTCCAGAATATTATCAGCAAAAGAAAAAGAGCAAGGCTAACACCACACGAAGAAATCCAGGTAAAGAGCTAGGGTTAGTGTCAGTATTTTATAAAATAGGTGTACTAAAGATCAATCTCAGAATAGTTTGTGGAATCAAAGATACTTCTGTAACTGGAATCACTGCATCTTTTATCTGTGTAATTTAGCATCTTACATAATTTAGTTTATTGTCATTGCACCTCGTACAATGAAATTAAATGCCATCTTCAATGTACATTATATTTATAAAAATAAAACACAAACCCACATCCTTCGCATTCTATACAATTGAATTGAAAATCAATATTGCATTAATATTGCACTATACAGTAGAATTCAATATAGTTACTGCTCTGGGTAGAAGCTGTTTTTCAGCCTATTTGTCCTTGTTTTTATTGCCCTGTACCGTCTGCCAGATGGTAATAATTCAAAAAAAGGGTGCCCGGGATTAGATGGATCTTTAAGAAGCATTGTACCTTTAGCATCCTGTTTTATATTATTTAGATCTTTATATTACTTAAGAGATTTCTTAGAGACGCCCGCTCCCAAATAATCTGCAGCGCCTTCTGGGAAATGCTTCCCATTTTAATTAAGTTTTTTTGAGAGCCCCTAAACTGCTGTGTAAATGTTAATACAATGAGCGGTACTTAGGAGGCTCGTTTTGGCGCAGGGGCTACGCCCCACTGGGCTGGTTGACTGCATTAACCCATCTCCCACGTTCAATCCACTCAGCCACAGACTTAGCTCGCACAACAGGCCAAGTCGTGAAAATTCGATACATTCTCCATTGGCTGCCCGGGGGCCGCACCCGAGACCAGCCTCCCCAGTGCGGGAAGGGAGCTCCTAACCCTTGCCGGTTCCTCCAGTCCCAGGCAGCGCCAGCCGCGCAGGGCGTCGCTCAAGGCCGCGATTCGCCTCGGGGAGGGGGGACATTCGGGCCTCTAAAGCTTCTCTGGGGGGGCGCCAGGCCCACCGCCTCCCGCCTGCAGAGGCCGCGGCGGCCCCGATACGAGGAGGAGGAAGAACAAGCACAAGGTCACCCGGTCAACAAGGCCGTCTCCACGCACCGGTCCCCTGGTGCTTCTCCGGCGCCGCTGCCGTCGACAGAGCCCGCTTCCAGCCCGCCCCGGCTCCCAGCCGCCGCCAGACCCTGCCGAGCGCCGCCATCGCCGCCTTCTCCCCCTCCGTCCTCAGGAGGGTCGCTCGGAACCGGAAATAGAATGGCGATTGGGCGGCGCGGATGGTGACGTCACGGCAGCGCCGAAAGGCACGCGCTCCCGCGCCTGCGTAAACTTTGGAGGCAGAGTCGCGCGCAAGGGGGCTGCTTCCGGGTTCCCTTCGAGGCCGGCTGGGCGGGGCTTCGGAAGAACCGCGGAATTCAGGCTCTAAGAATAAAGCTCCGCTGAATAAAGCCACGCATGCGCACGAGGCCAGTGGGTCGGTGCCTGCAAACGCACGGACTGCATTCCCGCAAAGTCTCCGGTTCCTTGTCCGCTGGGCGAAGGCGGCCGCCTGAAGTTGGGCCGAGCGTGGGCGGAGGACTGACGCGGGTTTTAGTTTTAGTTTTAGTTTATTTTTTTATTTTATTCAGTTTATATAGCCGCCCATCTCATTGCGGGACTCGTTTCAGGGGAGGGAGGCAGCTTTGCAAGAGAAAGAGGGCTGGAGAATGGAGCCCAGTCTACTCTGCAGTCGTTGGAGCTCCCTCAGCTGGGCCACCCATCCAATTCACTCATCCATCGTCCATCCAATTCATTCGTTCATCCCTTATCTCCTTCCTTCCCTCCCTCCCTCGCGTGTCTCTCTGTCCGTCTATCCCATTGAGAAACCGCCCCTCGCAGGGCGACAGTTGCCTGGCGGGCGTCTCCTGACCGACCCAGGCAGGCGATGCCGCTGATGAGGTACCCCGGCTGGGTCACGAGACGTCTGCAAGGCAACAGCCAGGAACTGCGCGGCTCAGCCGAGAGGCTCCTCGGGCGACGGGCTTCCCTGCTCGAGCGCGGGAGTCCCAGCCCAGCCGGTTTCCAGCTGGAAAGGTTCCTCTCCGAAGAAGAATGGGCGCAAGGGAGCCCCAGGAGCCCCTGCAAGGCGCTGGCTGGGGCACCGGGGCGGCTGGGGGACGGAGGAGCCGAGGGGAGGCTCTCCTGCTTGAGCAGGGGGTTGGACCAGAGGACCTCCAGGTGCCTGCCACCTTCCCGTTCTTCCGCTTGCCAGAGCCTTTCCGCGCCTGGAGGGCGAGCGGCGCTTCGGGCATCCCCGCAGCGAGGTGGCCCCGATCGCGGCCGCTGCTCCGGGGAAGGGCAGGCTCCGTTCAGGCCAGGAGCAGCAAGTCCCGGGCATGAGCCCCCCTCCCTCCCTCCCCGTCCTCTGGCCGTGGCGGGCGGGCCAGCTGCAGTCCCCGCGGCCTCCGCGCGATGGCCCGCTCGGCCAGCCCTTCTCCGACCCTCGGACGCGCAGCGCTGCAGGCAGCTGGAAGGCTCGGGCACCGGGCAGATTCATCAGTGGCTGGCCCGGGTTGGGCTCTGTCGCCCACGCGGGACAGAGGCCTTCGCTGGTGCGTGGCGGCCTTTCCCCTCTTGCAGCTGGGCGGCACGCGAGGCACGTCGGCGCCTTCCCGAGTTTAGCGGGCAGGTCGAGATTCTACACCAGGACTTCTCAACTTTAGCAACTTGATGATATGTGGACTTCAACTCCCAGAAATCCCCAGCTAGCAAAGATTTCTGGGAGTTGAAGTCCCCACGTGCTGGCTGGGGCATTCTGGGAACTGAAATCCATCTCCCTTCCAGTTGACAAAGTTGAGAAACTTCACTTTACTACAGGAAATAAATCCAAGGAGCCTCATAATGTCAAAAATTAAGTTTGACTTTTAATCGCACCAACATTCAGGCTGAATTTGAGGGGAAGATCTTCGAGTCTTCACTTCACTCGTCTTTGCGATCTTTCCAATTCTGTGGCTAGATAGATTCACCTGGACCCTTTATGGCTCCCTGATCTTAATATCCTATTTTTTATGCAATTCTGGATTGAAGGAAAAAATACCCTCTGGTTTTGTCTCTTATTTCCAAGTATTTCCAAGGTGGGTAGGGGAAGGTGAAAAAAAGTCAGAATGATGGCTGAAACTGCATATAGAAGACACATCTTTTTCTGTTTTATACATCATTATTTGTGACAAGTAAAAGGGAAAAAGTTTTCATCATACAGTTATGGCAATCATCTTGGTTTTTTCTGCTCTCCCTTTCTTCAGATATCCATGCTCTTTCTACTGTTCTTTTATTTATTAATAACTGGTCAACCTTCTTTTGGTTTGGATCCTAAGTAGGTTGGGTCCTTTTTATTAAACCTTATTATAATATAATATAACAGATAGAAACAAAGATATTCAGGAACTGGGGGAAGGAAAAGAAAGGGAAAGGGAAAAAAGTGATTTTCAACTTATATAATTCAGTTACAGCCTCAGCTTTTTGCTTTGTATATTTAGTAAGTAGTAGACAATTCTATGACAAATTAATCATCAAAACCTAAGATCAAAGTTTCAATCTCTTCTGTTTCAAGCATAAAGTTCAGAAGTGGTTTCCAAGCAGAAACAAAACCGAATAAATTCTTCTTTAATTAGAGTAGTTAATTTTTCCATCTCTGCTGATCTAGAAGCTTTTTTGATGAGAGATTTCCAGGAAAGGTTAGAGGGCTGGAAGTGGGAAATAAATCCAGGCAGGAGACACAGAGGTTGCTAAGTAGGAGCCAAAGTTGACTTGAGGGAGACTTTATTGTTTTTAAACTGCTTTTTCTCTGGGAACTCAAGCAGGTGATGCCTTCAGTTTATCCTCTCCATAAGCATCTTGTGAGATTAAGTTAGGCAGAATGTGACTGGCTTAGAGTTGACATGTCAAGTCTGCTTGATCCCTCTGATAAATTGAGAAGCCCAAAGAACAAATTTAGAAGATGCAAAGGGGCATGTAATAAAAGCAGAATGTCAGATAATGGTCAGATGTTTGGGTGGGGCATGGTGCCAGGAAGATACAGATACAGATTAACAGAATTGGAGGAGGGGACCTTGCAGGTCATCTAGTCCAACCCCCCCCCTGCCCAAGCAGACCCTACACCTTTTCTGACAAATGGCAGTCCAGTCTCTTCTTGAAAGCCTCCAGTGATGAAGCTCCCACAACTTCTGGAGGCAACTTCTGTTCCATCAGTTGATTGTTCTCACTGTCAGAAAATTCCTCCTTATTTCCAGGTTGAATCTCTCCTTGTTCAGTTTCCATCCCTTGTTCCTTGTCTGGCCTTCAGGTGCTTTGGAAAACAGCTCAACTCCCTCCTCTCTGTGGCAGCCCCTCAAATATTGGAAGACTGCTATCAGGTCTCCCCTGGTCCTTCTCTTCACTAGACTAGCCAGGCCCAGTTCATGTAACCGTTCTTCATATGTTTTAGCCTCCAGTCCCCTAATCATCCTGGTTGCTCTTCTCTGCACTTTTTCTAGAATCACATCTTTTTTATAGTGTGGTAACCAAAACTGGATGCAGGACTCTAGCTGTGGTCTTACTAAGGCTTTATAGAGTGGTATTAGTACCTCCTGTGATCTTGATTGTATCCCTCCGTTAATGCAATTTAGGATCGCATTGGCTTTTTTGGCTGTCGCTGTTAGCTCATAGTTAACTGGTTGTCCACTAAGACTCCCTCTCACAGTTACTGTTATTAAACCTGGTTTCACCCGCTGTGTATGTGTACTTTTGGTTTTTCTTGCCTAAGTGTAAGACTTTCCTTTTCTCTACAAAATCAAGGATAAAGATGAAGGCCTAGAATGAACTGAGGCTCACAACGAAGACCAAAACATGTTGAGAGGGTTCTCTAAAGATGTGCTGAGCAAGAAGAATGTCTCTGGTAGGACAAGATGGTAAGATGGTAAAAGAGAAAATTGGGAGAAGGTCAAGCTGTTTAATTCCAACTTTGCACCTGTCATTTTGCAAATGTACTTGAACCTATCAGAAGCTGGACTGTGGGGACAGAAGGAAAAGGCAAGTCAAAATAGTCAAGGAAGTGGTGAGAGAACACCCAGATGTTTGGAATGAATTCAAGTCACTGGATTGCAAGCCACACCACACCACGCCCACCAAGCCATGCCCATAGAACCGGTAGTAAAAAAAATTGAATTTCACACTGGACTGGAGGCTAAAACATACAATGAACGGTTGCAGGAACTGGGCCTGGCTAGTCTAGTGAAGAGAAGGACCAGGGGAGACATGAGAACAGTCTTCCAATAGTTGAGAGGCTGCCACAGAGAGGAGGGAGTTGAGCTGTTTTCCAAATCACCCGAAGGCCAGACAAGGAATAATGGATGGAAACTGATCAAGGAGAGATTCAACCTAGAAATAAGGAGAAATTTTCTGACAGTGAAAACAATCAACCCATGGAACAGAAGTTGTGGGAGCTTCATCACTGGAGGCTTTCAAGAAGAGACTGGGCTGCCATCTGTCAGAAACGGTGTAGGATCTCCTGCTTGGACTAGATGACCTCCAAGGTCCCTTCCAACTCTGTTAATCTGTAATCCTTGGTGTCCTGCAGTTTCCCTCCGCAGCTGGACTCTGATCCAAGGCAGCAAAGGACTTACTTGAGTTGGGGGCCTCAGGCTGTGTAGCCCTTTTTTCCTTGGGAATCCAAAGCCCTGGACTGCTGAAGAAGATATTCCAGCTGTTGTCGTCTTTTTCCTAATCTTGGCACCAAAGTCTGCTTAATTTTGTTTGTTTGTTTGTTTTCAAGAATTTAAATAAATGTTTCCCAAACTCGCCCTTCAAGATGGGACAGGCAGCTGGCTGGCTTCCTTGAGAGTTGCCATGGCTTCCTGAGCCCCTTTCCCGTTAGCAGCTGGAATTTGGTGGGGGGCTTTCAGCAGACTGCACTGTTGATTTGAATGGCAAATTGCTTGGAAACAGTTTCTCCCTCTCTGTAAGATTAAGGGGTGAGGGTTAAAAAGGAAGAAGCTGATGAGCGAACAGCTGAACTGGTTACATTTTATAAGTTTTGTTATCTACAGAATGTTTACAGTAGGATGTTGCTATTAAAGGAAGCGTCTGGATTAGATTTCATTATCTAAGAGGTGGAATAAGGCATTGACCTTTAATTTCTTGCTACTGAGCCAAGAAAGGGGCTATCAAAGCTCAGTGAAGACAGGATCACACCAGGGGTGAAATCCAAAATTTTTCCTTATCGGCTCTGTGGGTGTGGCTTGGTGGGC